ATCAGTGGTACTGCCTCAGCACTGAAATGTTTTTTGACAACGATAATTTACCAGTGTTTCTTGAATATTTTCCTTGTTTAACTAGTAGAACCGAACGTACAAGTGCATCAGAAGACTAAGCGAGAGTTTTGTGTAGAAATGCTCTGTTTACAGGAAGTTATTTTGCATTCGCAAGCGTCAACAAAACTGCGGCATCAAGTTCACAGTTTGATTATCATAGCGATAGATAAAAGCTTTGAAAATTCAATTGAAAACATTTTAAACCACCCGTATTTGTATAGAATATATGTTAGTTGTATTAACATTGAACTTCTTTCTGTTTGAACCCAAATTTGTACTTGTTTTGCGTTTGACAAGGCTGTCAAGCTCGCGACGATTGGCTTTTTACCTCAGTCAGGCATGACTACAGATTTAGCGTGTCAAATGTCTTCTTGTTTGTGTCAAGATTATAATATTCTATTGCTGTTCAAACGAGATATTCTATACACTGGAAACGTAGAGTACATTTTACTTTGTCTTTGTCTCAAGCAAAAAAAAGTATAAAGATTAAACAGGCATTCAAAAATATACAACCACGAACATCTCGTAATATTTCTTCGGGGAAATCTTCAAGTTTCAATGGAAATCTGGCGCATGCGCAACAAATTTCCCAGCTGTTGTTATTTCCTTGAAAATTCCTTGAAATGTCATTAGGCGGTTTGCAGTGCTTTTGTAGCAATACAAAGGATTTAATCAATTTTAAAAGCACAAAATAGCACAATTAACAAAGACGATTGCTATCTAAAAAACCACAGGCTATTATACTGTTTAAAATTAAATATATATTTGTTATGAGTTTACAACATATACTTTTCCATTGATATAAATAATTAATTATTCACAGCGTTTGGCGCCAAAAGTTACAAAATCCCATCGCTCAAAAACTTTCGGAAGTTTTCGGAAACACGAGGAAAAAGTTAAAAACAGATTTTTAATTAATTAAACATAATTGATAATTCACTCAAAAGTTCTCTTCCTTAGATTTTCCTTTTCGACACTAGAATTTCCTTAGAAAAGGAATTTTCCTTGAAAATGGAAGCACTGATTCAGTATTTGCTTGCTGCATAATTACGGTAATTCATTCAGGGCGGAACGATTAAAATAGGTACGCTTGCGTACGCGTACGTGTGCTCAGAGTATGGTCTACTTGCCAACAACTTCATAACTTGGGTACTAGAGACCTTACGATTTTAGGACGGCAACGCGACGGCCAAAACAAACTCCTTCACTTACTTTGTATGTGATAGAAAATGACAGGTATTTATGGACTTTAAACTCCTTTTACTCCGTAAAGTTATTTCAGTAAAGAAAGCTATTGAAAGCAGGATAATTTTGTGTTTTAAAAGTCCAAACATCGGTGAAACACCTACTCGGAGATATTCTTTTAAAATAAGCGGGGATTTAGTAAAAAAAAATGGTGGCTTGGATTTGTGGGAAATGTAATATCTGGTACTGATTTTTTACGGCCAAAAGTGCCAAGAGACAATATATTAACCTGTTTATTTAACTGGTGATAATAATTGCAGCCAGAAACTATGATATAATAAAGATTTCATCAATTTTTCTTCTTCTTGCCCGAGAAATATTGTGTGCTTGAGCAACCAGTGATAACAGACTAGAAATTTATGGCATATAGTTGTGAGTTATATTTATGAATACACAAACGAGCTAACAGCAGGTATTAGGTCAAGCAAGGATAGACAATATTCACTGTGGACGGTTCTGTTTGTCAGGTTTGATAACATAAATTGTAAATATCATTGGAATTGACATTTGATTGAAGTTCACGTCGAAAGTTCATGACTGAATTTCACGTCGAAATTCAGTATAACTGGTCTAACTGCCGGTAAAAAACTTCGTTCCTCAAACGAAGTTTGGTTTTGTTTTCCTCAGTTCGGGAACAAGAAATTCGAAAGCAGCTACATCAACCTGTTAGCAATGGACCAAACGAGAAGTCGCCATGCGCGTTTCTTTGCTTTAGGCTGATGGCACCGTTGGACTACCGCAGTGGAACGCCGTTATAAATAGGCAAGCTATTCTTTCCTACAGTGAAAAACTCAAGCGACAATCCTTGTAGCAAGGTTTTGGAACTTCACACTAAAAGTATCAAAACAGTATTCAATTATGTCAGTGGTCCGACGCTTATCATAGACGATATTCAAGATACATTCATTGAAGAATTATATGGAACTGGCACTGTTGCAAAATGAATATGTATTCGCATTGAATAATCTGCAGAAATACATCATGCAAATTAATTAATTGATAACTAAACTTCACTCCTTGTGAAATTGGGTAAACGTAGAGATACTTTTGTTAAATATTGCTTGAAACTTTCAAAGATTTTGGAAACTTATACGCTTTACCTTTAATGGTTAAAATCTCTGGACGTACTGACTGAGGTTTTTTGCCGACGCAAAGGGATTTAGGATTCTTTTGGACTGGGAAAGAATTTTATGGATTGTGCATTTGTTAACGGATGATTTGCATTGAGTGAAGAGTTCATCTTATCACATCTTACAATTTTAACGGGTTACCAGAAAAAAAATATTTTCAATAAAGTGCGTACTCCGTTAACAAGAGAAGAATTGAGGTAATTTTATACACTTCATATCTTATACAACCATTCCCGGTTTGGATCGACAAGAAACTAAAGAGAAAAACGTAATTAAATCAATCGCGAAATGAAGGAAAAAGTTAATGCTCCAACAAAGATATTTTTGTTTCGTTTTGGATTGACTATTCTCGCTCTATTGACGCTACATGTTCTTGTCACAATTTATAAACAAATTGACCAAGCGAGTCTGATTTTGAACGAGATGGCACAATCGGGAGCGATTCCTATTGGCTATGAAAAAGATATTGTAAACAAACAACCAAAGCATCTCTCGTTGCCAAACTATGGTGGCTCAGATTATGCTACAGAAAGGCCTACAAGAAAACAAAGATTTCTGGAAGTAAATCCACATTTGAGAGGGAGGAATGGTCAAAATTTTCGAACACGCTTTCAAGAAAGCGTTTTCTCTTATGAAAGACGATTTTACGAAGCTGATCATACCGTGAGACCGACCTATTTCGTAGAAATGAATCGGTCACATCGTGTACGGACGGCAAGGAGGTATCGGAATACTAGAAACATTGGGAAGACAGGACACATTGATAAAACGAGAACAGGACACATTGATAAAATGAGAATGATCAGAAGGAACAGTGCAAACAAACGAAGGCAACGACACTACGAAAGCACAAACGACGACAACAACGACGACAGCAACAACAACAACAACAACAACAACAACAACGACAACGACAACGACAACAGCAACAGCAACAACAACAACAACAACAACAACAACAACAACAACAACAACAACAACGACAACGACAACGACAACGACAACGACAACAGCAACAGCAACAGCAACAACAACAACAACAACAACAACAACAACGACAAACAAAACAAAATTATGAAAAATGCTTCACCCTCGAAAGTAATGATCATGGCATACCGTCGCTCTGGCTCGTCCTTTATCGGCGAGATGTTTAACAGAAACCCTAGTGTGTTTTACCTCTTCGAACCAATTCACCCGGTAGAGAAAATCGCCGGTAAGGGAAAATATCCACTGTTATACGATACGATGGTCAGCCATGTATTGGACGTAATTTATACATGTTCTTTCAACAAACATCCATTTTTAGTAGACTTCTTAGCAAAGTCAGCTTTCAGGTTAAAAAGTGAGGCGTTGAAAAGTGGATTATGCGGAATCGACGCAACGCCTCAAAATATGACGCGTGAATGCAAGCCGTTGAACCAAACCATTTTAAAAGGTTTATGCAACTCAAGAGACCATATTGTCGTGAAATCGATCAGAACAACCACGAAAAAGATATCGGAGCATTTTTCTGGCTTTCAAACCGATTCGAAGTCTTACAAATTGAAGTTAATTCATCTTGTTCGCGATCCGCGTGCGATTATAAGTTCAAGACTTCACATGTTTATCCGTAATAGTAATAACAACAGCGAAATTCAACTTAGAGACGATAAAAATCTCACAAACGCTTTGAAAAGGTCAGTATGCGTTGCATCCGCCATCTTATGTAGTCGAATTCACAGCGATCTTAAATATGGGCGACAAGCAGGTCGTGACCATAGTCGTGACCATTACATGTTGCTACGCTACGAAGACGCCGCAATGCGACCGCTCAAGATTTATGAAAAAATCTCGAAATTTTCAGGAATTAAAAAATCCAAGATCGTTGAAGATTGGCTGAAACGGAACACGCGTGTCGCAAATATGCGCAATGAAAATGACGAATACTCGACAACGCGAAATTCTACTGCTTCCATTAATGGCTGGAGAAGACGAATGCCGTACAAGTTGGTGGCGGAAGTGCAGAGCCAATGTGATGAAGTTATGAAAATACTGGGGTATATCTCTGCCAAAAGCGAACGTGAATTAATGGACGTCGCAAAGTCGTTAGCGAGTTATGACAAGACCAGTTTATCGTAGTGTAAAAGGCAGAAAACAAAAGCGCACATTGCTAAACTTCATTTACTTCTTCAAAGTACATGTATCCTTCTTTACAAAAAAACTTTATTAATTAAAGTAACTATAGTAAAACATTGTCAATTAATTTGTCTTATAGATTTGTAAAATTAACTACAAATTAATAAATGTTGTGGGGCGACGGTACATTTAAATTTTTGCGAACAACATTCTCATTGTGAATTTAATTACGTGGCCATATTTAAATTTTAGGCGGCGAAATTGCGTGCGGTCCGTGCGGAGTGGAATATTTCTTTGTCTTGTGATTTCTCGGATGGAACTAATTAGAAAAGACAAAAAAAGATTCAGCTCTTTTAAGTTGTTTTATATGTTTGTATAAAACATTTTGATCGCATGTCATCAGCCAAGAGACATAGCCCAAAGACTTCACATTAAATAACCGCGTCCTTCGTCATTTTATAGCCGGATAGATCCATAATTGAGTATATTAGAAATAATTATCTGTACCTTCTCAAAGTTGTAGACAAGCTATGTTGTTTACGTCCAACGCCCATAAGATTGCACAACTCAAAATGATTCGAGCAAAACCGGTCTTTGGTTAAAAGGAAGAATGGTTAATAGAAATTGGTCCTTTTGTGTGACATAATCGTGTATCGTCATCGATCCATGACGTTGAACAATGAAACAATTTGTTGTGAAATTAACGAAGATAAAATAGCATTTTGTGAAAAAACTGCGGGTTTACCGTAAACATATTTCAGATCTTCCTTTTTGGGCACTTTTTGAGGTCACAACACACGGACTTGAGAAAGTTTGCTAATTGTCAGCGAGACATCTAGGGAAATTAAAAGTTTAAACACGCATGCGCTTATTTTAATTCACCTTAATAAACAGAAACGTTTTTGAACAATATATTGCAAACTTTTGTACGCTCGTACTGTGTAGAAAGATTCATCCACTTACTTCAACTAATTTTTGTGGCCCTTTTAGGGCCGTTAATTATACAAAATTAATTAAACCAATGAGGTAGCCAAGATTATTGTACATGTCATACAAACGATGGGAAAAAATGTTTAAATTCGTTAGAAAAGCTTCTTAATTCCAGTTTCTCGCGCAGCCTCCTTGCAAAAATTTTTACATTTTGAGGAGACCAAAAAACTTCCGGTTAATTGATTGAAATATGTCAATTTCATG